AGTTTTTTGGTTTTTTTTATACTGGGGATTGAACTCCAGTCCTCGTTCTTGTGAGGAAGGCTGTGGGAACCACTGAGCCAAATCCATCATTTTAAGATTTTTGTTACTGATTCTTAAAAATAAAGTTTAATCCATGTAATTTATTATTATAAAAAAATATAAAAAGAATACAATATATGCTATTTAACTTTTAGGAAAATTTTTGAAATAGGCAAAAGCTTATTTGTACAGAGTTTGAAAAGTAACTATTGCAGACATTTGAATAAAATCACTGCTTAGTTAATAAAATATTTCATTGTGTATTCATTAAATATTAGCCACTATCCTAAATACTAAAGTTTTTAGAAATAACCAGGTATAGCATGGTTCCACCCTCAGGGAGATTAAATTTCATTACATTATAAAAATGTTTAAGAATTAAAACAATGAATATTCTTTGTGATTAATAACTCTGAGAAATATAATTAAAGTTTATTTGTTTTATTTTTATTCACTTATTTTTATTGAGCTAATGATCACCAAATAAGAGTAAATTAGACCATTATTCCTTATATGTTTTAGCACTCATGTTTAATATTTTCTTCATTTATTCCTCATTAGTATTTGGGTAGGAAGCAAGGGTCAAGAAAAAAATGTTCTCTTTGACAGAAAACTGAAGTGTAGAGGATTTAATGTCAGTGTTTCAGAAGCAAATTTTTTAGTGGTCTTAAGAGAACATTTAGAAAGTTTCATTAAAATGCTGTCCAGAAGAATGTACAAATTGCTTTGTAGAATGAATTACATAATTTTGCTTCGCATAGTTAAATGCACAGAAAAATATAATTGAAAAATTCTTTTATACAGAAGGATCAGGAGTGTTTGCATTCTAGGGAAATATTTTAAGGTGCTCTATTAGTTTCTTAGGAAATGTTGAAATTACCTTTTTATATCATCTCTTTTTCTGCACCTGAAACCCAGTATTAACAGGTTTACATAAACTAAACATAAATCCTTAACCTATTTTACAAGGTCATTATATTTTCAACTTGTGTTCACATTGAGGTTTCTTAGTATTAGATATTAAGCCTGGAATCTATGTAACAGCTTTGGAATCTCTTCATAGCATTTTTAATCTCTTTGTTTCTCATTGTATAAATGGCTGGATTTAGGAGAGGTGTGATAACAGAGTAAAACACAGCAAGGAATTTGTCCACCCAGGTAATGCTGAGTGGCCACACATAGATGAAGATGCAGGGCCCAAAGAAGAGCACCACCACTGTGATGTGGGCAGTGCAGGTAGAAAGAGCCTTGGATGTACCAGTTTTAGAACTTTGGTGGACAGTGAGAAGAATGTATGTGTAGGATATCAGCAACAGAATAAAGCAGGTCATAGCCAGAACCCCACTGTCAGCGTTCATTAATATTCCCAAGTTAGAAGAATCCATGCAGGCCAGCTTGAGTACCAGAGGTATATCACAAAAGAAGCTGTCTATTACCCTGGGGCCACAGAATGGCAGCTGTATAATTACAGCAAGTTGGCTCATGGAGTGCATAAAGCCAATGATCCATGCAGTCATCACCAGCCCAATGCACCTTTGCAGGCTCATTATAGTAGAATAGTGCAGTGGTTTGCAGATGGCCACATAGCGGTCATAGGCCATTACCACCAGGAGAACCATCTCACCCCCTCCAACAAAATGTACAAAGAGGATCTGGCACATGCAACCTCCGAAGCAAATAGTCTTGATTTCTCTGAGAAAGTCTGTGATCATCTTAGGAGTTGTAACTGAGGAAAGCCACATATCAACAAATGACAGATTGGCCAACAAGAAGTACATGGGGGAATGCAGACGGGGGTCCGTGATGATTAAGATCATGATGAAAATATTTCCAGATACAATGATCAGATAAAGCATAAAAAATATCATAAAGAGCAAGATCTGAATATTCGATGAGTGGCAAAGTCCCAGAAGCACAAATTCTGATGCTATAGACTGATTTCCTTCATCCATTTTGTTCAGTGCTGTGTGTCTTCTGAAACAACCTATAGAGAAAGACAGATTAGCAATTATTGAAATGAGGAAGGGAATTTTATTTATTTGGGGAATTTGGTGAAACAGTGAATAGATATGAAATTGATCTGTATAATTTCAAAAAAGTCTGAGTAAATAAACATAGTATTAAGCTCAAAAGAGAAACTAATTGTGAATGGCTTTTTAAGAGCAGAGAATGAGATGAGATTGCTATGCAAATAATTTATTAATAATTTTTCTTCACCCTCAGGGAAGTGAGGAAAGTAGAAGAGCCAAAGAAAAAGCTAAAAATGTTTGAAATATTGCCTGGAAAATAGCTTACCAACAAGTTCCGTCAAACAGGATCTGAGTGAGACATAGCCACAATTATTATAACAAACAATGAATATTTAGGTCATGTATTTAGGAAGCTATGCAAAGTGACATTGAAATCTTATAAAAATGATGTAACATTCTTTTTTCATTGTATTTCTTTAAGATATAAAATTAATATTTAGCTTATTACTCTAAAATATATATTTGTACAACACTGAAGAAAAACTACATAAGTCACATAATATATGTATTTGGTCTGATGATTTGGATACAAAACCAAGTACATTATCACTTATTAAAAGCTACAACTAAATGGAAATCATTTAGTAAACTAAGCAGACTAAAAATTTTTGCAGAGTGAAAGTCAACTCAGACCAGATTCAGAGTTCATAAATTTGAATGGAAAATCAGTTTTACTCAAGCTTATCAGCAGAAATTATCTATCAATTAAATAAAAGGATAACTGAAAATTTCAAATTTAATTTTGAAATGCTATCATTTATAAAACATCAGAGATATAAAATGTGCTATTATCTATCCTTTATGTATTTGATCTGTGTATTTATGTGCATTTATAACATAAAAATGACATAAACATGTACAGGGAGTACATTTTTGACTATGAATACTGAAAGTATGAGCAGTTAAAACTTCAGTGGTGACTATTTTCATCCAAACAGAATGATTTTGTTTATATTGGTCCCTGGTAAATTAAGAATTGTTCTGAAGCAGCAGATTGGAAAAGTTATTATTGTTTTTTCCCCCCACCATTTATTAATTTCTCCATTGGCATTGTTTCATTTTTAAAAAATTTTCTGGTCTCCTTTTATATTTGAAATCTCTGAAGTGGTAGGAAGGAGAGTAAATGAACAATGAAAAGCATTATTGCTTCGTGAACTCTGAAGCATGCATTAAGGTCACAAAGAATGAAACTTTTCTAATGTAATTAAGTAAAGCACGCATTTGCTGTGGAAAATGAGACATATGATAATAATCTTAAAGCACAAATAAATATGCCCTCTATTAATTGTATAACTTTAAAATTAATATCTTGATATTATACCAGATAGATTTTTGTCCCCAAACACTGAAAACTCTGACACTTGTCTTGAAACTTAATTTATTATCAAGATAAACCTTTCAATATTTGTTTCTATACCTGCTGGAATAAGTGACCCAGAAGATAAAAACAATTAACACAATATCACTTCTTTGAGAATAATTTGTTAAAAGATGAACATATAGTTTTATAGGCAACAAACTACCATGAAGAAATAATAATTTTTATCAGTTTTGGACATTAGTAATATTTACAGTCATTGTAATTATATTATTTGATATTAATTTTGTATTTCGAAGAATTAGTGGAGTAGTTACAAGCTTTTTAATTAGTTGCACCTGGTCTGAAATCTTAGTCTATTACTTGTTGAGCCTGTAATTTTGATATTAGTATCTGTTTCTGAAAAAAGGAAACTCAGTCTAATGAGTGTGATGATGTGCTGTGAAGAGGAATGAAAAATAAATGGCATGATACATACACATACTCCCTATGGTGAGTATTGTCATTATGTATTGCAAACATGTACGCATAAAAAAGTAAAAGAGGAAATACAGAAAAATAAGGGTTTATCAGATCTTTCTATCAATAAAAGTATTTTTTTGTTAAAAAAGAAATATAGGAGTAGGATTCAGCTCCGTGGTTCTGCTGCCTGCCTCACAAATGCAAGGACCCGAGTTCGATCCCTGGTACCAAAACCAAAACCAAAACAAAACCCTCAAAAAAGAAATATAATCATTTTGGCACATTTACTATTAATAACTATTAAGCTAAGCCTTGCAGTATATTTTCTGGATGGTTTTGGTAAACATATTCATGCATAGCCAAGCACTTTGTCATCACAATATACAAAACAAAATTTCTTTAAAATACCTACCTCTTAAATTTTCTCTAAATTAACACACACTGAACAAACCTATAGGATGTACAAATTCAAGGGTCATATCAGACTTGCCTCTTGCTTTCCAAGGACTTAATTTTTTAATTTGTCACTTCTACTTGGCAAAGGAGCAGTTATTAATATTTTAAGAGGTCTCACAAGAGGTGATAACACATTTTTAAAACATGGAATTCTTCCTTTTATTTCAGAGAAAATTTCTATCAACAGGGTAAATGATAATTCTCTTTGATGAAAGTGAGAAGTCAGGGAAAGTAGCCAAACTGTACTGCCTTTTTAAAAAGGTATAAAATATAGCAACATAATCCCCTCAAGGTCCATAAATCAGGGACAAGAAGATAAATATTGCATGATCTTAATGAAATGTGAGATCTAAAAATATTAAACTAGGGATGGGGATTTGGCTCAATGGTTCTGCTGCCTGCCTTGTAAGTGTGAGGTCCTGAGTTCAATCCCCAGTACCAAAATAAATAAATAAATAAATAAATAAATAAATAAATAAATAAATAAAATAAATGAAAATATTAAACTTACATAGAGAGTAGAGTCGTAGTTACAAGAGGTTCTGGGGCTAATGAGATACTTGTCAACCAGAGCAGTTTCAGTTAATCAGGAGGAATTAGGTATTTTGATCTATGGCACAATTTATAATGATATAAAATAAATTGTATTATGCATTTAAAATTTGCTAAAAGTACCATTACCAATGCCTCACTACAAATAAAAAGTAAATGAGGTAATGGACATGTTAATTAGTTTGATTTAGTCATTTCCATATTGCACGTATAGCACAACATCATATTGTGCCCCATAATTATGCGCAATTATTGTGCTTAAAATAAATAAAATGTAATACATTTTGATCCTATTCTAGGTGAAATATTCTTCCAGAAAGATTATTTTCTATATTAATAAATTTAAAACTCTCTATCAATATTTATATTATATAGTAAGAATCTTATCCTAGGACAATTTAATACATTTACTTAACTATACATGGGGTAAAGAACTTGGAGAAATTGCAAGCTTTTCCCCGTGCCTCATTTTGTCTTCCTTTCTTCTCAGGGCATGAGTTTTAATCCTCTTTTTGAAGTAATATTACTTTGAATTCAATGATTAATCCTTTCCACTTCTATCTCTATGCAAAAAGCTATCTTAGCATGTGATGCTTTTTCTGATATAAAAAAACGTTACTCAATTAAAGGGGACAGATGGCTTTCAGAAGGATAACTGGAAGCGACTGATCTAAGAACTGTGGTCTTTGGACACAGACTTTGAGGTATCTCAGAGGCAGCACATTGTTGTGTGTGCATTGTTGTTAAAATTATATGTATGAAAATAAGAATAGCATAGGAGGAAACGTATGTGTAGTGGTTTTTGAAAATGTCAGAAGTGGACCTAGTGATTCTTAACTGTTAAGGGGTATGTGTGAAACAGGTAGAAAAATATCGAAATAATCTTAAAAGAGAGTCACGAAGAACAAAAGATGACTTACTAAGCACAAGTTTTCTCTAAGGTCATATTTTCTTTTAGTCTGCTCTTCTGATGTGGACTCGGGATGCTATCCATTGTTGGGTGAAGACAGTTATGTGAGGGAGTGCTATTCCTCAGCCAGATTTTATATATATATGTATTCATCACCTGAAGTGATCCCTTGGGCAAAGATTTTCTGTTCTGTGCTGTTATGTTCTGCACAATAAGAATCATGGATGTTTTTAACTTGAATACTCTGCTGAGAGCTTCTCTAATAGCAATGGTATCAATTTTTGCATACCTTGGAAAACAAGAGAAACCTCATATGAATCAGCCAAGTGTTAAACATTTCTGAAGTTGCAAATTTTTTCTTATACACAGTAAAAGTGACATCTTCAAACTTGATCTATAATTTGATGTAAATACTTAGATTCAATTAAAATTTAATTGCAGTTGCAAGAAAAATCATATCTCTGTGTGACGTATGCCACCCACCAAGCATCCTGATGTAGATGGACTGTATAGATTGGCAGGAACTCTTAGTCAGCTGATTTGTTTGATATTATCTGTCACTACTCGACAACCTGACACACTGGATGCCAAACCATCAAGATATTTACAGATTTTTTAAAAAGTAGGACATTTCTGTTAGTTTAAATACATTTATTTTGACCTCTGATTTTTAAAGAATCTTATTTGGGTAAAATTGTCAGATGTCTATATGTAAAGTACTCATTTGCTTTGCTTTTTTTCCCCATAAATCAGTTGACTGTATTTATATGGACATATTTCTGGACCATTGATACAAATGTTTAAGCTTTTTAAAGGATCGTTATAGTAACGTGGCAACATCTGAAATTGACATCTCTGTACTGGAAATGACAGTAGTAATGGGAGCTGTGTGTTTTATTGGACACTTTCCCCGTGTTTTCAAGAACTTTCACGCTTCGTAGCTGAAGATAACAGAACAGATTCTACCTTAAATTCCTGTTTTTTAATGTATTGCCTTGAGTCTCAGAGCAGACTTCATTTGGACAAGGCTGGAACTTTTGAGACTTGGCAAAGATTATTAATTTTCATTTGTATGCAAGATAGTTGTATGATGTTAGGAAGAGTTATTAACTTATGTCTATTTGGAGATTGAGGATGGATTAAGGAGATGTGTTTGCTGTTAGGTTGACAAGGAGTAGGATGAGCTTGTCAGTGTGATTGACCAGGGAGCTACAGGAGATTAGTAAAGCACACTTCTAGGTGGGTCATGAAAGCATAAACTTGGGATCTGTACTTGTTCACTGACTCACTTCTTCCCTGGTGGCATTCTCCTGATTTGCTTTCTGGCCACTACAAACTGAACAACTTTGCTCTGCAACACTTGTCTCCATGTTTCTGTCCTGAGACCAGATTACCATGGATGGATTTTCCTGAAAACTTGATACAAATAAACCTGTCCTCCTAAAACTATGGGTTTTCATACTTGCTCCCGCCAAGTAATACATGACCACAAACAGAATCTGGCATCAATGGTGGACTCAAATACATTTCAGAGTTGTCAAAATAGGCTGCTATTCTTTGTTAGCTGAGTAATTTTTTTCAGTATCATCTATAATTACACGATGTCTTGAATGTTATACACCAGATGTGGAATTTTAATATCCTTAGATTTTATTTCATATAGATGTGAATTTAAAAAAAAATGATTGAATGGAGTACTACTCAGCCATAAAGAAGGAGAAGCTAGAAACATTTATGGTTAAATAGATGCACATTGAGGCCATATTCTTAAGTGAAATAAATAGATCACACATGTATAAATACCGAGTAGTTTGTCTGGTGTGAGAAACTGAAAGCATAAATAAGATCAAAATATATAATAGATAATATGATATAGAAGATAAGGCCCAAAGGGGAAGGGAGAGTTGGAGGGGTAGGGGAAGGGAAAGGAATAAATACGCAAAAAGGAAAAATGAAAACAAAGTCTTTGTACATAGGGAGGGTTGGGGGTTGAAGGCAGGGCAGAGGAATGGGGGAAAAAATAAGAGCCAAGAGATATCATGGAAAGGTACAAATTCCCAATGACCCCCAATGTCATCATATTAAATACCTATAATGAACCAATAAACTTGATGAATAAAAAAATCATTTATTGTGATCATTTAAAACAGCTTTTTCATTCTACAATCAATATATATTACACTTCAAATGTTTAATTTGAAGAGATTTGATTTACATATGTATACAATCATGAAAGCCCACACAACAAGCTGGTTAAATGTGTATTTTACCTCAGCCTCCAAAGATTTGTTGCTCTTTGGTAAAAGCCCTCTTTCTGTCTCTCATGCACCCACACTCTCCACCGTTATTTGTGCCCTATAAATCTTTATTAGTTCACATTTTCTGTAAATATAAAATATACTCAAGTACTCTTTTTTTGGACTGATGTCTATCATTCAGTATACCTTTCCCTTCATATTTATCCTGCTCTGTTTATGAAGAGTGCATTTCTTTTGTTGCTGAATAATATTCCATTTTATTTATATACCATAATTTGGTTATTGATTCATCTTCTTGTAGTCATATTTTGGCTATTAGAAAATAAGTCTCTTATGAACATGTATGTACACATTTCTGCATGACATAAATTTTCAACTTTATCGATACTCGTTTTATGCCCCAGAATATAGTCCTACTTGGATATGTTCTGTTTGTCCTTGAAAATGATTAATATTCTCATTGACATTTTTGGTTAAAGAATTCTATAACTTCTGTTATTTTTCAGTTGGTTCATGATGCTCTTCATATCAAACAATCTCATTAATTTTTTTTTTTTTTTTGCACCGGGATAGAACTTGGAACCTTGCACTTGTGAGGCAGGGGGCAGAACCACTGAGATAAATCCCTGACCCTAATCTCATTAATTTCTGACTATTTCATCTATTAAATATTGAGAAGAATTCTGAAATGTTTGATTATAACTTCTTGTCCCTTTGTCCGGGTAATTATATTTTGTTTCACATGTTTTTAAGTTGTTATAATAAGAACGAATATATTTAAATAGTTATATCCTCCTGATTGTGATATTTTCTTAATAAAAAAAACAACTTAAATTTTGGTACCGTTATTTACAATGAAATACACTTTGGCTGTTTTAAAGTAGCCACAGAATATTTCTTTTGATGTGGTCAAAATCATTTTGTAAAAACATAGTCTCCAATAGACTTTATTTCTTATTTAGTTCGTGAAAACCAAGTGAAAGTAATCAGGACTATTATTCACTGTGTTATTTATCACTTTTATTTCACATTCTCTTTGTTTTTTCTTTAATTTTTTTCTTACTAGTACTCATGTAAAATATTAGGTTGAGAAAAAATAATGTTCACATTTTTTTTTGTGTGTGTGGTACTTTGCACTTGCGAGACAGGCAGCAGAACCACTGAGCTAAATCCCCAGCCCATGATCACATTTAAAAGAAAAACAAAAAATAAGTGAAAATATCAAGGAAAGTTCCAGTGGTACAGAAACACTTATTTTTCATTTAAGGTTTAGAGGAAAATTTTATGAAAGATTCATTAAAATGCTCCCTAGTGGAGTAAATGTATGCTTTTAATAAAATAAATACAGATGTCTTTTAACAAAGTTGAAGGAGTAAGAAAACTGGTTAGGTAATTACCTGATAAGAATCACTAGGTTTCTAGGCATAAAACATTTCACATGGAATCTGCACAATAAATTCTGAATCTCTTCATAGCGTTTTTCATTTCATTATTTCTTAGGGTATAAATGGCTGGATTTAGGAGAGGAGTAAAAACAGAGTAAAACACAGCAAGAAACTTGTCCATCCAGGTGAGGCTGAGTGGCCACACATACAGGAAGATGCAGGGCCCAAAGAAGAGCACCACCACCGTGATGTGGGCAGTACAGGTGGACAGAGCCTTGTTTGCACCAGTAGCTTTTGCAGACAGTGGCAAGAATGTGTGTGTAGGAAATCAGCAACAGAACAAAAGAAGTTAGGGCTACAAAACCGCAATTAACATTCATGAAAATTTCCAAATTATAATGACTCGTGCAGGCTAACTTGACCACCAGTGGTCTGTCACAAAAGAAGCTGTCTATTTCCTTGGGGCCACAGAAAGGAAGCTTCGCAATCAAAACCACTTGACTCATGGCATGCACAAAGCCAGCTGTCCATGCAGTCACCACCAGAACAATGCACCTGTGAAGGCTCATGATGGTGGAGTAGTGCAGTGGTTTGCAGATGGCCACATAGCGGTCATAGGCCATTACCACGAGGAGAACCATCTCAAGTGCTGCAATGAATTGAGAAAAGAAGACCTGGGACATGCATCCTTCAAAGGAAATGGTCTTATTTGCCCTGAGAAAGTCTGTGATCATCTTAGGCGTAGTAATTGAGGAGAGCCACATATCAACAAAGGACAAGTTAGCTAACAAGAAGTACATGGGCGAATGTAAATGGGGGTCAGTGATGATTAAGGTCATGATGACAATATTTCCAGGTACGATAACCAGGTAAAGCATCAAAAATATCATAAAGAGTAAGACTTGAATGTTCCATGAGTGGCAAAGTCCCAGAAGCACAAATTCTGACACTATAGACTGATTTCCTCCATCCATTTTGTTCAATATATCCTCTGAAATAACATAGATGTGATAGATTGCCAGTCATTAGAATGCAAAAGGGTAGGAATTAGCATCCACATCAAGAAACAAAATTATTATTGTGATATGAAATCTATATAAGCATATACGATATTATACCCAAAATAGAAATAATAAAAAGTCCAAGATTGACTTTTCCAAGAGCAGAGACTAAGATGTGATTGCTATGCAAGCAATTTACTGAGCATTCAATCTTACAAGATGAGAGTAAGGAAAATAATACTTCAGTGGGGTAAGGCTAAAGTTAGAGTGACACTTGAAGTCTAGCCTCTGTCTTCTGCCTCTAGAAAAAGAATAGGACTGGGGCACAATCATTGCACTAAATAACCAGAATTGGCTCAAATACAATAGTCCCTTTACAAATAATTTTGGTTTCACTGTTTCAGGTTCTAGAAATTAAATTCACTCCATAAATATTTGCATTTGTCTTCAGTCCTTCAAGAGAGAGAGATCATATTCACTTAATTTTTATTAGCATATATTGTTAAGGCTGTTCTCTTGTAATTTTTTAGTTTAGTTTCTTAGCCTAGTTTATATGTTAAAGTTTCTCACAGATATGCATTTATTGGAAAAATATACTATGTAAATATTTAGTACTCTGCCGTTTCAGGTAAACACAGAAGACTTGGAGTGTATTCCTCACTGATAAGTACATGATAAAATGTTTATCTGTAGCTATTAAATAAATGCAAATCAAAAAAGCTCTGAGTCTGTGTAATCTAAGTCCACATGGCTAGTATCAAGAACCAAGAAGCAATGAATGCTGGAGAGGAAGTAGAGGAAAAAATGAACCGTCCTACTTTGTTGGTGGAAATGTAAACTAGTACAGACAATATAGAAATCAGTATGAATAAAATTTTCCTCAAGAAGCTAAAAATAGAAACTTCACTTGACTCAACTGTACCTCTATTAGGTTCTTCTCGAAGGAGTTAAAGACATTGCACTAGTAACACATATGTACGCACGTTTGTAGCAGCAACAACAGAGTCGAAACCTCTTCGATGCTCATATAGGTGAACAAAGAGAATGAAGTATATCTGAGTAATGGAATAGCATTCAACCACAAAAGAAGAAAGAAATTGTGTCATTTTCAGGAATGTGGACTTAAGATCATCATGCTGAGCAAAATAAGTCAGAGAGAGAGTGAAATATTGCATGGTTTCTCTTATATGGGAAACAATATAAATTAGTGAATAAAATAAAAAGGTGATAGGGAACCAAAACAGAGGGGACTGTTTAATTAGGAAAGAAACATATATTGTAATCCAGTGCAAATGATATGATAACGTTTTTTCTACCATGATGTGGAACAGTTTCTTTAATATTTGATTATACATTTTTCATGGGACATCACCAAACTAAATTTTAGTTTATCATTCTAAAACACATGTTGGAATAACCTTTTGAAGAGAAAGTATGTAAAGGCCATGTGATACACATCATTATGTAAAGATTTGAATATGAAACCAAGTACACAATTTATTACAAATTAAAATTTACTATATAGTTAACTGATTTAGCAAACTAAATTGATTAGAGCAAAATAAGTGTAGTGTTGTATTGAAAGAGATTAAGCAAGCTCACAGGCAACTTGAATGTTCAGACTTCAAGAACTCTGAGAATCTCCTTATAACTCAGGTTTGTAAATAGATCATACTTATTTATATGAATCCGGGGAATTGCCTTGGCTTTGAAATATTAGCATCCCTTTACCATCAACCTGTCTATTAATCTATTTCTCTATGTATTTTCTAAAATGTGATAAATCACATACATATGTAAGCCAAGTAAATCTTGCATATTAGTCCTGAAAGAGATTAAATTATTGGTGATCACAGAAAATGAATCATATTAAGTACATAATGATGTTTATATTAATCTTTATTGAATTCAAAATTTTCCACATAAGGGATGGAAGCAAGATAAGTGGCCATTGCTATTTCTCTCTCAGCACTGTTTCAATATTTGTTTGGTATATTTTATTTGATAATATGAAGTCTGCACAGTTTGTGGAGAGTGGGTGAACAATACAAACCTTTACCTAGTCATGAACACTACCTCTTCTTAAAGCAAGCACTTGGAAACACTAAGAATGACAAGAAAGAAAATTTTCCTAAAGAAATTAGGCAAATCATGTGTTTGCTGTGGATAAGAGAATACATAACAGTGATCTTACAGCTTATAAATAAATCTTTCATAACCAAAACTTGTATGGTTTCTTATGATATCCCCCCCGCAAGATAGAGCCACAACTTCTGAGGTAGGTGAACAACCTGACCTTTTTCTTAAAATTACGTTGTAAGTACAAATTATCAATAAGACTTGTCCAGGAGAAGTTTTCAATAACTATTTCTCATCCTGTTGAATAAGTGACAGAGAAGATAGCTAATATAAAAAGAGGATTTCAAATGTATTTGAAAGTAGAATTTGCTAAAAGGTAAACTATATACTCAGGAAGCAATTCACCAATTATAAACCACACCATCTTCAAAATCGCTTTATAATTGTTAATATTAATATTAGTAGATAAATATTATTCTACTAGTATTAACCAATATATTTTGGAAAATCAGTAGTTTCCAGATATTATTTAGTTACTCTGATGTAGTTTGAAATCTCAGTTAATTGTGTATTGAACTCAGCTAAATATCTTTCTGCCTTCATTTCTTCCCCTGGAAACGGGACACTCAGACCAATGTATGTGTTGTGAAGATGAATCAAAACACACACCAAACAATGTCTTAGTCTTCAGTAAATTATAATAAGCAGTACTTCACCTTGCAATTTTTCAAGGTTGTTCTTAAAGTAATACCATTTCCAAAATTTATTGGCAAATATTTCTTTGTGTTTTCTGTAAATGAAATACATACAGTGAACTTTTTAAAAATATGCTTTAAATACTACTGAAACATTTGTACTTTGTGTAAATGGATCTACACATACACAGCAACCCTATAGGATATACATAAGCAAAGAATATGTCAGACATGCTGCTTGCTTTTCAGGTGCTAAACAGTTTTTCCCTTTACTGTGTCCTTCCTTGGCAGTTAGTAACATTTTAAAAGGCCCTACATACATATGGCACATTTAGAATTCTTACCTGTAGCACAAGGACATTTCTCACAAAAAAGGATGATATTTATTCTGCAACAAGTGAAACTGAAAAATTAGGAAAGGAAACAATTTGCATTGTTCTTTTAGGAATTTGAAAATAACCTGTCTTTTACCCTTTTCAATATACAAGGTCCTTTCATGAATCTTTTCTTTTTATCTCTCATTGAGTTTATTGGTACTTTTTTTCTCATTGAGTTTATTGGTACATTTTAAGTATACAGTACAGTTACATTCATCATTGGGATCTTGCACCTTTACATGACAGGTCTTGGTTCTCATTTTTCCCCTTGTCCTGCCCTCCCTTCACCCCCTCCTAACCTCCCCATTTACAAACACTTTATTTCCATTTTTTTCATATTCTCATATTTTTTCTTTTCCCTTATTACCTTTCCACTACCCTTCCCAATTTCCCTACACCTTTAGCCCCTTTCTTCCTATTTCACATTGTCAATAATATCATTAGGATCTTATGTACTATTATAGTGTTTTGCACCAGAGTATGAGTCTTTTCTTATATACTCTATAAACTATAAGATTCGCTGTATTTATATTTTTACAAGACAAATCTTGTCCTCAGAGCATTTAATGTTGCCAGACACTCACTGGGTCAGGTACATAAAGAGAAAGCCTAGGTTTCTTCCACTAGTTCATAATTACTCCTTTCATTCTCAGGCATGAGATTTAATTGTTTATGTATTAGTGTGTCTTTTTATTTACTAAGCCATTCTTTTCATTTCTGCTTCTATGCAAAATGTTCTCTTATACACAGTGCTCAAAGGACAATTTAAATAAGGATAGTTGGAAGCTGCTCAGTTTGAGTAGCCACGAAAAGACTGTGATCCCCTGAAATAGATCTGACAGCGTCTGAGGCAGGTTTTCAGGTGGTATGTTCACCATTGTTAAAGATGCCAAAACTCTTTTAGCAAAGATAGGAGATGAGGAAAATGACTGAATCGCTTTTTGACAATAAAGAAGCTAAAGAAGCCAGTCTCATCTCTGAGCATTGTGGACACATATAAAGCATATAATAGAAATGCTTTAATGAAGAATACAATTACAGAACATGAAGTGACTTACTAAATAAAAATGCTCCCTTAGATAAAATTCTCTTTCAGTTTTCTCTTCCGATGTGTGAGATGACATCCATGTTGGGTGGACACGTATCAATGAAGTGCTTCCCCTCAGCCTGACACATATTAGCCATCGGAAAGTGTCTCGTGGGTATAATTATCCCATTTTGTGTTCTGAAGAGAACAAGAATCATACACTAATTTACCTTGGACACCTCTGGGGAACCCCTTTGTTAATAATGATTTCAACTGCTGAATATTCTGGAAATCAAAACAGAAAAGAGAGAACCTCAAATTGCTCAGCATTAAAAATTAGCACTCATTTGTTCTTTATTTGATAAAGAGTACCGGGGATATAATTTTGCTAGATCCATGCCTTGCTTGATCTTTATCTGCACAATAACATGACGTTACTATTTTTGTTCTGCTTACCCCAAAATTATATCCTGTTTGGTGTGATATATGCCTGTCAGCAAATGCCCCTGATGTGGGGCGCCATGATGCATGTCATGGGCCTGTAAATAGGCAGATAATCTTAGATGAAGTGTCATCTGTAATTAGTGTATGTGCTGAACAGTAATGCACTAGTTGTTAATTTATGGTACTATCTTTAGAGTTTGGTAAAGACGTTGATGTATGTTTAAAACATAGTTACTGTGCACTGATGCATGCATACCCATCTTTCTAGCAGCACAATTCATAAGAGCTAAGTCTTTGAAGCAGCTTATATGTTCATCAACCAATGAATAGAAGAAGAAAATATGGTATTTG